TGACTGTCTCAGAGTATGCTGTTCGTTTCACCCAAATGGCATCGACCTTCCTCAAAGTCCATAGGAGCCCAACTACGAAGTCCATGGTGATCCGCTCCCACTTCCACTCTGGAATCTCTATCTGCTGAAGCAATCCACCCGGCCTTTGGTGCTCATAGTTTACCTGTTGATAATTGAGGCACCGAGCTACAAACCCAACTATATCCTTCTTCGTCTGCCTCCACCAATAGTGCTGTCTCAAATCCTCATACATCTTCGCGGCACCCGGATGGATGGAATACCGCGAACTATGGGCCTCCTATAGAATCAAGTCTCGTAGCCCATCAACATTGGGTACACAAACCCGACCCTACATCCTCAATACCCCATCATCACCAATGGTCACATCTCTGGCATCACCCTGCAGGACCTTGTCCCTGAGGGCACGCAAATGAGGGTCATCAAACTGACACTCCCGGATAGGATCAAACAAGGAAAACCGAGAAACCACACAAGCAAGGAGCTGCCTAGGCTCCTAAAGATCCAATCTCACAAACTGACTTGGCTAGACATGTACCAGCTTTGGTTTCTGCTGTTCGCGAGAAGGTTCGCTGGTTTATTGAGGGACTCATTCCTAGCATCAGGTCTAGTATGGCTCGGGAGTTAGAGATGGATATTTCTTATCAGCAGGTGGTGGGTATTGCCAAGAGAGTAGAGGGTATGCATGCTCGGGACAGAGAGGAGAGGGAGGCCAAGAGGTCTTGAGAGTTGGTTCGCTATTCTGGTGCCAGTGCCCCAGCTACAGCTCGTCATCGTAGGGGTTATATGAGTCGCCCCGTTCATTCAGCTCTTCCAGCAGCTAGTGGTATTCCAGCTCCTCCTAGACCTCAGGAGCCTTATTATGCAGCTCCAGTATCTAGTACGCCTCCTGGCCCGAGCAGGTCACAGCCACCACGTCCTCCCAGAGCTTGTTTTGAGTGTGGTGACACACGCCATGTGGTGAGGGATTGCCCTAGACTTGGGAGGGGTGCACCTCCAAAGACTTCTCAGCCGCAGCGCGCCCCGCAGAGTTCTCAGGTTATGATCACAGCACCAGTTGCTACCCCACCTGTTCAGCCAGCTAGAGGTGGAGGTCGGGGAGGTAGAGGTCCCCTAGAGGGGGAGGACAGGTCAGATATTATGCCCTTCCTGCCTGTACTGAGGCTGACACCTCCGATTCTGTCATCACAGGTATTGCCCTGGTCTGTCATAGAGATGCATCGATTTTATTCGATCCAGGCTCCACTTATTCTTATGTGTCCTCTTATTTTGCCCCGTATTTGGGCGTATCTCGGGATTCTTTGAGTTCTCCTGTTTATGTTTCTACTCCTATTGGAGATTCTCTTATTATGGACAGCGTTTATCGGTCGTGTTTGATTGCTCTTAGTGGTTTTGAGACCATAACCGATTTGTTATTACTCAGCATGGTAGACTTTGATGTTATTCTGGGCATGGACTGGTTGTCGCCCCATTATGTTATTCTTGATTGTCACGCGAAAACCGTGACGCTAGCTATGCCGGGTGTACCGCGAGTAGAGTGGAGGTGTACCTTAGATCATACTTCCAGTAGAGTTATTTCGTTCCTTAAGGCTCAGCGTATGGTTGAGAAGGGGTGTGACGCGTATCTAGCTTATGTGAGAGATGTCAGTATTGATACCCCTACAGTTGATTTAGTCCCAGTAGTACGAGATTTCTCTGATGTGTTTCCAACTGATCTTCCAGGCATGCTGCCCGATAGATATATTGATTTTGGCATTGATCTACTGCCGGGCACTCATCCCATTTCTATTCCTCCGTACCGTGTGGCTCCTCCTGAGTTGAAGAAGCAGTTACAAGAAATTCTTGATAAGGGTTTCATTCGGCCCAGTGTATCACCTTGGGGTGATCCTATCTTATTTATGAAGAAGAAGGATGGTTCTATGCGTATGTGTATTGATTATTGCCAGTTGAACAAGGTTACAGTGAAGAACTGTTATCCTTTGCCTCGTGTTAATGACCTGTTTGATCAGTTACAGGGTGCTCGTGTGTTTTCTAAGATTGACTTGCGTTCAGGCTATCATCAGTTGAAGATTCGGGAGCCAGATATCCCAAAGACTGCCTTCAGGACTCGGTATGGTCATTTATAGTTCCTTGTTATGTCATTTGGGCTGACCAATGCCCCAACAGCCTTCATGCATTTGATGCACAGTGTATTCCGGCCATATATTGACTCATTCGTCATTGTCTTTATTGATGACATTCTGGTATACTCCCGGAGTCGGGAAGATCATGAGCAGCACCTGAGGACAATGCTTCAGACTTTGAGAGAGAAGAAGTTATATGCTAAGTTCTCGAAATGTGAGTTTTGGTTGGATTCTGTGGCATTCTTGGGTCACGTGGTATCTAGTGAGGGGATAAAGGTGGATCCGAAGAAAGTGGAAGCAGTGCATAGTTGGCCCAGGCCATCCTCAGCTACAGAGATCCGCATTTTTCTTGGCTTGGCGGGTTATTACCATCGATTTGTTCAGGGATTTTCATCCATTACAGCACCTATGACCAGGCTGACCCAGAAGGGTGCTCCTTTCCAGTGGACGGAAGAGTTTGAGGAGAGCTTTCAGAAGCTCAAGATAGCTTTGGCCACAGCTCTAGTTTCGATATTGCCTACCGGTTCGGGGTCTTATACTGTCTATTGTGATGCCTCGAGGATTGGCCTTGGAGCGGTATTGATGCAGGACGGTAGGGCGATTGCCTACGCGTCCAGACAGTTGAAAGTGCATGAGAAGAACTATCCTGTCCATGATCTTGAGTTAGCTGCTATTGTTCACGCCTTGAAGATCTGGCATCATTATTTGTACGGTGTGCCTTGTGAGATTTATATTGACCACCGGAGTTTGCAGCATTTCTTCAAGCAGAAGGACCTTAATTTGTGCCAGAGGAGGTGGTTAGAGCTGCTAAAGGACTATGATATCACTATCTTGTATCACCCGGGCAAGGTCAATATGGTGGCTGATGTTTTGAGTCGCCGGGTGGAGATTTTGGGGAGTTTGGCTTATCTACCAGCAGCGGAGAGGCCCATGGCGATGGATTTTCAGGCCTTAGCCAGCCAGTTTGTGAGATTGGATCTTTCGGAGCCTAGTCGGGTCCTTGCTTGTGTGGTTTCTCGGTCTTCCTTGTTTGACTCCAGGAGTGTCAGTTTGATGACCCTTATTTGCGTGCCCTCAGGGACAAGGTCCTGCAGGATGATGCCAGAGATGTGACCATTGGTGATGACGGGGTATTGAGGATGCAGGGTCGGGTTTGTGTACCCAATGTTGATGGGCTTCAGGACTTGATTCTAGAGGAGGCCCATAGTTCGCGGTATTCCATCCATCCAGGTGCCGCGAAGATGTATCAGGATTTGAGACAGCACTATTGGTGGAGGCGGATGTAGAAGGATATAGTTGGATTTGTAGCTCGGTGCCTCAATTGTCAACAGGTAAAGTATGAGCACCAGTGGCCGGGTGGATTGCTTCAGCAGATAGAGATTCCGAAGTGGAAGTGGGAGCGGATCACCATGGACTTCGTAGTTGGGCTCCCACAGACTTTGAGGAAGTTCGATGCCATTTGGGTGATTGTGGATCGGCTGACCAAGTCCGTGCATTTCATTCCTATATGTACCACCTATTCTTCGGAGCGGTTAGCGGAGATTTATATCCGGGAGATTGTCCGTCTGCACGGTATTCCAGTTTCCATTATTTCAGATAGAGGTACTCAGTTCACATCACGGTTCTGGAGGGTCGTTCAACATGAGTTGGGCACTCGGGTAGAGTTGAGCACAGCATTTCACCCCCAGACGGACGGACAGTCCGAGCGCACTATTCAGATTCTTGAGGATATGCTTCGTGCGTGTGTGATGGAGTTTGGAGGTTCTTGGGATCAGTTCTTTCCACTGGCTGAGTTTGCTTTCAACAACAGCTATCAGTCCAGCATTCAGATGGCACCGTATGAGGCCTTGTATGGTAGGCGGTGTAGATCCCGATAGGTTGGTTCGAGCCGGACAAGGTTAGATTATTGGGAACAGACTTGGTACAGGATGCTTTAGAGAAGGTTAATGTGATTCAGGATAGACTCCGTACAGCCCAGTCCAGACAGAAGAGTTATGCGGACCGGAAAGTTCGTGATGTTTCCTATATGCTTGGAGAGCGGGTCTTGCTACAGATTTCACCTATAAAGGGCATCATGAGATTTGGGAAGAAAGGAAAATTGAGTCCGAGGTTTATTGGGCCTTTTGAGATATTGTGGCGTGTTGGGGAGGTTGCTTATGAGCTTTCCTTACCTCCCAGCTTTGCAGGGGTTCATCCGGTATTTCGTGTTTCGATGCTCCGGAGGTATCACGATGATCTGTCGCACGTGTTGGATTTCAGTTCAGTACAGTTGGACAAGGATCTATATTATGTTGAGGAGCCGATAGCGATATTGGACAGGCAGGTTCGAAATCTGAGGTCGAAGGACATTGCATCAGTGAAGGTTCAGTGGCGGGGTCAGCCGGTCGAGGAGGCGACTTGGGAGACCGAGCAGGATATGTGCAGCTGTTACCCTCATCTTTTCACTACTTCAGGTATGTCTCTATACTCGTTCGAGGACGAAGGAATGTTTTAAGAGGGGGAGGATGTAATGACCCGGCCGGTCATTTTAAGAATTAACGCCCCGTTCCCCTATTAACTACATTCCTCGTGTTTATTTCTGCTATTCTGAGTTGTTCGGGTTGAGATCTTGTATTGTATATGCCGAGCGCCATCTTAAACACTTTTATATATGTTATCTTCGGATTTTATTAGTTTTCACATTTGTTTCTTTCTTTTCGAAATGTTAGGCTTACCTAGTCGTAGGGACTAGGTGTCGTCACAACATGTTCATGGAGGGCGAACTTGGGTCGTGACAACTCCGTCATAAAGGCAACCACGTAGGCGATCCAAGGTGGCACCGGCGGCGTGTTAGGAAAAAAGAAGAAAAAGGATGTTGCTATGGTCGTCTCAGGATCATGGCATGGCCCAAGAGGTTCACCTCACCATTACACCCAGCCTCGACCCCAACCTCAAGCCTATACCCAAGCTCCACATAATCCACCCCAACACTACTTCCCACCACAAGAACCTCAATATTCAATCAGACCACCCCAATATCATGTCCACCACGCACAGTCATATGCTCAACCCCCTCTTTACCCGCAATGGCGTGCTCTAACTCCACAAAATCCTTATCCACCCCCACAACCACATCGAAACCCAACTGGTCCAAGCTTTCGGCCGAGGCCAGACTATAGAAGAGAAAGGCAGCGGAAACAAACTTTCACCCTGCTTGGAGAGTCCTATACCAGTTTGTTTCAAAGGTTGAGGCAGTTGGACGTTTTGAGGCCGATTGAGTCAAAGTTACCAAATCCCCCACCAAAGAACCTCGATTAATCCCTCAGATGTGCATATTGTTCTGATGCCCCAGGGCACGACACAGAAAAGTGTTGGCATTTGAAAAGCGCAATCCAAGAGCTTATTAATACAAATCAAATTGTGATCCAGAGCCCGGAAGCGCCAAATATCAACCAAAATCCTTTGCCAGCACATGCAGAGACGCACATTATTGAGATAGTGCATAAGGATGGGGAACCCGAGAAGTCTTCAAAGTCTGTCATGATGATCCGTGCCAGTGAAAGTACTTCAGTTAAAACTCCAATTTCTACAAATGCAACACCCTCGACAGCTGAAGGGTTGACAGATAAGCTAAGCACGCCCAACGTGAAGCCGCCTTTATTAGTCGTGAAAGGGTTCCCAGATGATGTTGGAACAAAGCAAGGAAAGCCAAGAGTGTTCGTGCCAGGAGTAGCAAGTAAGCCTGTCATAATTGTGGAAGTGGCTCGCATTGCCCCTGTTGTTATTAAAGCAGTGACCCAGCTGACAGTAGATGATACCAAGGCTATTCCGTGGAATTACAAGCAAGTGATTGTAACTTATAAAGGGAAAGAAGTGGAGGAGGATGTTAATGAAACCGGAGGGCTGACTCGTTCGGGGAGATGCTTTACCCCAGAGGAATCGAGGAAGGCCAAGCCGTTCAAAGATAGCCCAATCCTAGTGAAAAAGCCAGTTACCGAAGAGGAGGCGGAAGAATTCCTGAGAAAAATGAAGGTGCAGGACTACTCCATCGTGGAACAGTTAAGGAAAACACCAGCTCAGATTTCTCTTTTATCATTACTGATACATTCAGACGAACACCGCCGGGCACTCATGAAGATTTTGAATGAGGCCCATGTCCCTGATAAGATCACGATGAACCATTTGGAGAAGATTGCTAACAAGATATTCGAGGCAAACAGGATCACTTTCTCAGATGACGAACTTCCCCTGGAGGGTACAGAACACAATCGAGCTCTTTATCTCACAATGAAATGCGAGGATTCTGTGGTCTCGAGGGTCCTAGTTGATAATGGTTCCAGTGCAAATATTTTCCCTCTCTCCACTCTCCAAAAGTTGAAAATCGATACTGAAAGGATCCACAGGAACAGTATATGTGTTCGTGGTTTTGACGGAGGGGGAAAGGATTCTGTTGGCGATGTAATGCTCGAACTGACAATAGGGCCAGTCGAATTCACTATGGAGTTCCAAGTGCTAGATGTGGCCGTTTCCTACAATTTATTCTTGGGCAGGCCCTGGATACATGCTGCCAAGGTTGTCCCGTCTTCTCTGCACCAAATGGTAAAATTCGAGTGGGATAGGCAGGAAATAGTTGTGCACGGTGACGAGAACTTACGTGCTTACAATGACACATCCGTCCCGTTTATTGAAGCTGAAGATGATAAAGGGCCTTGGGTCTACCAAACTTTCAAAACAGTGTCAGTTGAGAAGATTCCGGAGGGGGAATTCATTCCAGGTCCAAAGCTAGCCTCCGCGTCCGTCATGGTAGCAAATGAAATGCTGAAGAATGGTTTTGTGCCGAGCAAAGGTCTGGGTTCATCTCTACAGGGTATCGTGCATCCAGTGTGTCTACGTGAAAGTGTGGGTACATTTGGTCTAGGATTCAAGCCCACAGGGGAGGAGGTGAAGAGGGCTAAAAGGTTGAAAAACAAGGCATGGTCACTCCCTAATCCTGTTCCACACATCTCCAGGTCCTTTGTCAAGCCAGGGGTCGTAAGGCGCCCAATGTCAGCGGTCCCAATATGGTGGAAATTGGGGAAGGTTCTAGTAAAGCAGATGTGCAGTTCGTTGGGCCAAAAGTGAAGCTTAGCAATTGGAAGGCTACTCCTCTCCCTACTCGGAAGGAGTTTTGGTAGTTTGCTTTGTTTTCCTTTCTATTAATTGGGTTATTCCAGGATTGTAATCCAGATTTTCATTTTTCGCTTGTTTTGATGTACAAACCCTTGTATCCTTTATTTTCAATGAAATGCAATTTCCCATTTTCCATTATTCCTGATAGTGTCTCATTTTTGTCTTTCTTTGTACAATTCTTTTTATACTGGTTTCAATGACATGATATGCATGAGGAATTTTCGGCCAAGTCTTAAAAGCCAATATAACTCTGAAATAATAATCCAAGAAGTCGAGTGCGATGATGAAACAGATGATGAAGAAGCGGCATTTGAGGAAATTAGTAAAGAACTAAATCATTTTGAAGAGAAACCCAAGCCTAATTTGAATGAAACTGAAGCAATCAATTTAGGAGATCCAGATAATATCAGGGAAACCAAGATAAGTGTACACCTGGAACCACAAATCAAGGAAGAAATAATCAAAGCACTGTTTGAATATAAAGATATCTTTACATGGTCATATGACGACATGCCGGGTTTGAGTACTGATTTGGTAGTTCATAAATTGCCAACTGATCCGGCATTCCCTCCTGTCAAGCAAAAGTTAAGGAAGTTCAAGACTGACATGAGTGTGAAGATCAAGGAAGAAATCACAAAACAGCTTGATGCAAAGGTCATTCGGGTCACTCGATATCCCACTTGGTTAGCTAATGTTGTGCCAGTACCAAAGAAGGAAGGTAAGACCAGGGTATGCATTGATTACCGCGATCTCAACAAGGCAAGTCCAAAGGATAACTTTCCATTGCCGAATATCCATATTCTGATTGATGATTGTGCCAAGAATGACATCGGGTCTTTTGTGGATTGTTATGCGGGATATCACCAGGTCCTGATGGATGAGTGTCACACCTCCTTTTTCACCCGAGGGGTATATAAGGGAGTTTTTCTAATTTAAGTAACATAAATCGAAATGGGATTATTTTGTTTATTCAGAGTCGCCACTTGGGATATTTATGATGGTGTCCCAAGTCACCGGTTTATTTTAAATCCCAAATCGAGGAAAATCGACTTTATTTAAAAGTCTGCGAAACCAGAAAATTAGGTAAGGAATTCTGTTAACCCGGGAGAAGGTGTTAGGCATTCCCGGGTTCCGTAGTTCTAGCACGATCGCTTAACTATTAATAATTGGCCTAATTATCTGATTTACTACATGTTTTAAACCTATTGTCCATTTTTATTTTATAACCTCTTTTACTTATTTATGGAATTATTTCTGGAACAAGTTACGATTGTCGTACACTTGTTTGTTTTGGAACACATTGCAAATCACGCTACATGAAATGCACCCCCGATTTGCGACATATTTATTTTATTAATATTCAAAGTTGGGGATTATGTACCATGACTATGCCACAGGAACCGTACCCATAGTCACGATAGTTAATTAATCACGCCTAAAGTATTTCTACGAATATTCAGGTTTTTCTAAGCTAATTTGATTTTGTTGTAAAGTTCATGGCAAACGTACAAGGATAGAATTCAATTACTTTTGGGCATAGTCTAGCATCAACGGTAACATGCCTGAATTATGAGGGAAAAGGCCCAATTGGCTACTTCGTAAAACTGGCCCAATCACGATTCTTTAAATAACTGGGCCTATTGCAGTTCCGTTTTCAGTAACAATGAAATTCACTAAAAAAATATAAATTTTGCCTAAAATCCCAAATTTGGTTCATGCAGAAGTAAAAATCAGAAAATTGTTTAAATTTTCGAAAATAATTATACTACTGTGATTTCCAACGTAAACAAAAATCTTGGAGTTTATATTAAAATCCGAAGAGGTAAAATCCATATTTGGGGTCAAGCTATTGGGCTTAATGCCCAGGCCCAATGGCCTAGGCCCAGACTCGTTTGAGATCATTTTTTCCAACTGGGCTCATTAGCGAGTCTGGCCCAATCTGAATCGTAGAAATAGAAGCTTAATTTTAACAACTGGCCCATGGACTTAACTATTGTGACATTACAAATTACACTAATAAAGAAGCATTACTATAAGAAATAATGTAAAGGCCATTTGACAATCAGAAGGAAAAATTACATCGGAGTACTTAATACATGAATTACTACAACAAATAACTAATCTATTACATCAAAGTTCCATTTTTAAAAAAGTAAAGATGTCAACTAATTCTATTACAATCTTTCCGGAATGGACAGCCTAGTGAACATTCACTCATTTTGGATATAACTGATCCATCAAGCTTAGTTCACCACATGAAACCATCAATTTCAGCATAATAGCAACAGCCAAATTCCAGCTTTTGGCTTTCGAAATATGCTGATTTGGCCAACTAGTGACCAAATCCGCAAGTTATAGCCCATAGGAAACATGACCTCAAGCAAAACACTATGTTATTATCATGTGAGCAGAAGAAGAAAGAAAAAAAACTTCAGCAATCAATGTTCAGAATCAGTATAAAATTTCAACTAAAAATTTCAAACTTGGCCATTTTTAAGAGGGAATTACAAGTATCAGGATACCAAACAAGGTGTTCATACTAGTTCATTTCCACCCTTGAACTCACATAGCTAGGTTCATAACAATATAAGAAACTACTTCATGAAAAGAAACACTCATTCATCACATATAATTTGCAATTTTTTGTCTTATAATATTCAAACAAAGCAGTACATGAGGAGAGCTAAACTCAGTACCTTGAAAACAAGTAAAAACCAGCAGAAAAGCAAGTGAAAATGCTGGCTGAAAACTTAGAGATCATCAACCATAACCAAACAGCAGCAGTAGAAACCAGCCCAGAAAACCAAGAATCAACACTCAAACTTCTCAAAAATCAGAGTACCAGAAGAACTAGCCTAGAAATCTAACTAGAAAACTGAAGTTTTTTAACCAGAAAAGTTTCAGGGATTTTTCTTTGTATTCTGAAGTTTTTTAGGTCAAGATATGCTAATGAATTATGTTCTTAGAATGAGGGAATAACTTTCCTTTTATAGGGTATGCCAAGATAGCATCAAAATGGCATATTCTACCCTAAACTCCCTAAGTGTCAGATAGTACTACATATTTGGACAGCTGTCTATCCTTTTCGGCCCAATTCCAGCATTTTTCATTCTGGAAATGGGGATAGTTGTACAAATGCTAGAATCTTCTGATTTTTACCTAATGTAAAACCCAATTTTAACCCTTCAATTACTGATTATTTCATTTATACCCTATATTCTGATCCTATTTTGATTCTAGGGATTCCCTTAGGACCTTCTAGAACCAGCTAGGTAATTCTACATCGGGTTCCTAAACTTGTTTTAATTGCCTCTTTAAATCTGAATTTTAGGCTTATGGGTACCTAAGGTTTAATTCAAACCATTGAATACCTAACTAGTAAATTAACAAGTTAATTTTTAAACAAGAACACAGATTTTAAAACCTATGTCTAAAAACAGTAATCAAGACGAAACAGAATGATGAGGCCAGGACAACCTAGAAATTAACCTAATCAATTTGCAAATCCAAAAAGTTAATCAATTAAGCTAATGTTTCTAATGGCTAATCAGAAACGGGTCCAATAGATTGTTAATTAACTTGGGTAAAAATATTCTAATCAATTTGAAACAGATACTGAGTGTAAGACAAAAAAACATAAGGTAGAAACAAACATAACAAAAAAATGAAAAACAAAACAGTCAGGCAATTTGTTTAAAACCTAAAAGTTAAACCTAATTCAACTAAATTCATGCAATCAAAATTAAACTTCAAATAAAATTCAGCATGTTTCAAACAGTCTAAACAAACAGGTACGAATGGACAAAATCAAACCAAAACTGAAAGAGACCTCAAACATGCAGGCTTCAACAATAAAATAAGTGTAAAAGAAAGCAAAAGGCAAAAAATAAAAAGAAAAACGGGAAAGGAAATTACCTAAGGCTCGTATAAAATCGACCAGTTACGAACTCAGCCATTTTTATGGGGAAGAACATGAACTTAGACGGCCATTAATCGACTGTTCTTAACAGGAACAATCGATTAATGGAAGTCTTGGGTTCATATGACCCAAAACTGACCAAGAAACAAAAGGGGAAAAATTAGGGTTTCTAGGGTCTCAGATCTAAAATGCGAGAGGTTGGGACTAATTCAAAGGGAACTATGGTGATATATAGAAAGAGGAGGAGGAAACGGTTATGGGGTGTTAAATTGGTGAGGTTTAGAGGTGGTCCGCCGCCGTGAGGCGATTTTCGGTCGGCGGACCACGGCGAAGACGGTAAAGAGAATCAGGTCGGCTAGGGTTTCGTTGTTTGGGAGTGGGAGACGAAAGTGAGAGGGGGTCTATGGGAGGTGGTCCTGGGGCGAAACGGGGTCGTTTTTTTTGGGTAAGTGACTTGGACCGGGTGGATTGGTCTTTGGGGTTGGTGTTTTGGATGGGGAAAAAGGAATTGGGCCACCAGATTTGGTCTCTGGGTGGCCCAAATTCGAAAGACCGGTCTTTTGTTTTCTTTTATTGCCTTTTTTTTCTTTTTCTTTAATTAAAATCTAACCTAATTAATTAGATCCTAATTTAGTCCTGATTATTCTAAATTATAAAATTAAGCTAGTCATCTATTTTGTGTTATTTAAAAATTAATTAATCCTAAGTTAACAAAGAGGGAATTATTAATCCAAAATTAAAACTAAAAATGTAGAAAAATGAATGACACATTTTTTTTGTGATTTTATATTAATAATGAAATTAATTAACCAATTAATCCTAAAATGTGAACATAAAATTTAATATGCAATGCATGATATTTTGACATTTTTGGGGCATTTTTCATGATTTCAACAAAATTAAATGTGCACAAAAATACAAACAATTAAAAAAATCCTACAAAATTGAAAACAATTTGGAAAAATCTATTTTCTTTAATTTTGTAGGAGTAATTCTAATAGGGCAAAAATCACATGCTCACAGCTGCCCCTCTTTGCTTGGAAACACGAAGAGTTTTCGGGCAAAGATAAAATGAGCAATTATGAGCGATTTTTGCCCGTTTGGATCCTCCCTGGGAAGCATTTTTTTGAAAAAAGTCTGACCGAACCTTGCTTCGGAGGTTGCCTACATATACTTGGATACAAATGAATCAGGTCAGTGTAGTTCTGGAAATTTTGGTAGCTGGGACTACCGAAAAGCTGTGATTTCACTGCTGTTGCTGTTGTTTCTAGCTGCTGAGCTCCTTATTACACCAAAGTCGGAATGAAAAGCTAAACTAGCTAAGCCTATCAGCTATGAATTACAAGATTCCTATCTATAAACCTTCTGGAGCTTGATCTTAAGTCTTGACTGGACGCAGACTCTGATCTGAATCTTGATGCTTGTTAGCTGCAGGTGCTAGTTCATTCTTCTTCAGTTTTTGAAACAAAAATGGGGACTTACAAGGCTTGCGACTTCAATCATGTCTTGAGCAGTCCACATCTTTTTTCGCCTCTGCACTTTGGGTTCACTTATTTTCTTTTATTTCGGAGCGAGACTTCTTCTTTTGGTCGCCTCGAAACTTGTGCCTCAAGGTAAAAACCTGCTCAGTCACCAAAACAAACAAACGAACGAAATTTTTTGCCCCAGTTTTCACTTGGAAAATTTCGTGAGTTATTGTAACAAAAATCTAAACTATTTCTTTATTGAAAGCAATAAAATCAGGACTGTGTATCCTTGGGAAAAAGAGATTAGGGAGTGGGGACCCTATATCTAAAATGAAATCAACTGGGGATTGGAGGCCCTAAGTTGAAAAGATTACCAGGTTATGCTGGCATCAACTAAGGAGTGGGACCCTATGTTGGGAAAAGATTACCAGGTTATGCTGGCATCAACTAGGGAGTGGGACCCTATGCTGGAAAAGATTACCAGGTTATGCTGGCATCAACTAGGGAGTGGGACCTTATATTGGAAAAGGTTACCAGGTTATGCTGGCATCAACTAGGGAGTGGGACCCTATGTTGGAAAAGTCATCGGGTTATGCCGGAAAAGTCATCGGGTTATGCCGGAAGAGTCATCGGGTTATGCCGGAAGAGTCATCGGGTTATGCCGGAAGTCATCGGGTTATGCTGGAAAAGTCATCGGGTTATGCCGAAAAAGTCATCTAGTTATGCCGAAAGAATCATCGGGTTATGCCGGAATCAACTAGGGAGTGGGACCCTATGTTGAAAAAGACGTAGCTAGAGATTGGAGACCCTATGCTACCATGATTTTGAATTTTCTTCTTCTTCTTTCATTTCATTTTAGCATTTTTTATCTAAGAAAATGAATAAAAATGCAGGAATGAATTTGGAGGAGACTTCCCTTTAATATTGATTATTGCTGCAGAGCTATTTTAGTCTCTGCGCGGTTTCCTTTTGTTGCACCTGCTTCTTGCTTTTGGATTGCACTTGTTTCCTGTTTTTTCAAACAAAGAACAATTTGTTTGTTTAAACGGTGATTGGTTTTGTGGCCTTGAGCGTTTCAGTCACTTGATCTTGGCCCAGCTCTTTCAATAAAAATCTCCATTGCTCACTTGCTCTTTGGAAATTGGTTTCATTTCTAAACCCGGGGATCTTGACTTTTCCCAAATTCCACATGATGATTAACCCATGTGGGGCTTGGCCTTTTCCATCTTATTTTGCCTTTATGGGCACTTGACTTTGATTTCCTTTTTTCAAGAGTTTTTGACTCTGGAGCATCGGCCATCATGGCCAGTCGAGGTCGACTTGATGCACCTGCTGAGGCTGGGTGCTTTCTTGAATATTAGATTTTGTCAAACAAAACCCTGTAAGACCAATCTTGCCATCTTTTCTTTCTTTGTATTAGTTTCGGAGGAGAATTAGACCGAAAGCGATTCAAAGAAAAGTAAACAAAGGACATGATAATGAATTTTAAATGAGAAGTGTCCCTTTCGGGGAAAGGAAAGAAGGACTTATCTGGAGTGCATGCAGACTTCAATAGACATGACATGCTTCTTGGACTGGATACCCGATCTGCGCAAACCATCCAGACTCTCATAAACCCATCATAACCCATAACTCGAAACCGAGAAACCTTGCCAGGACTCTATCAATGCCGATGGTTGTAAGGGATCCCTTTTTCGATCAGTGGCGCCATTTGCGGGTTTTCACCATCGCCTTATGGTGCCCATGTGGGTTTTTACCAATAAGACTCTCTCACTTTATTTCTCTCATTTGATTGTATCAGATCCAAATAGCCAACATCATCCAATTCTGAACATCTTTAGTGATTGATCGGAAGGACATGAACAGGATTTAGGGTAAAGAAAATTTGGATTGA